CCACCTGGCGCCATCCTGGTTAGCACAGTTGGAGAAACGTTTGCACTCGTTGAAACCTCACCCGCAATTCCGTCTGCTACTCACCGCAGAAATTCATCCAAAACTTCCACCGACAGTGCTACGGGCATCACGTATCGTCGTATTCGAACCTGCAACAGGCCTAAAAGCAAGTTTGCTCTGACTTTTTTTTTTAGATGATGTAAATAGCCTAGTTGTGGTTTTGAAACTTTGATATCTTTTCACACGGTACTTTTTATTTTGAAACTATTTTATGTTAACAATCCAATATAACTTGACTGCTGATGGGCCGAAAGTATGTGGATATGGAGGTGCACTCCATTTTATTCTCATGCTTCAAAAAAACAAAAATAAATTTGTGTTGTCACGCCAAAATAATCCTCCTTAAAGTCGTGTTTTTCCTCGTTTGACAGCTTTTTTTTAAATAATGGAGTAAGAAGATTGGAATTAGGTGTCATGTATAATAAGATATTTCACGATGCAGTCTGTGTTTCATCCCTTAGCTGTATACACAGACCGAAAAATGCATGCGGGTAGGAGTGGGAATCGTCAGTACAGCCTCCTACCCCGCCATGTATTGAAAAGACATGTAACTAATTTGCAAGAAAAAATGTATGACATTTTAAAATGTGACATTTTTTCGCTTACAATTTAGCGTAAACTGTAGCATTTCTGGGCTGTTTTATCTGCTCGTTAACGCTTTTATCGTTTCAAATAATTTTAATTTCTTTTTTGGCCTGATTGTGCGCACTGACTTTTAGTGAAGCATACGCTTCTTTCTTTTCGCCCACGCTAGAATTTTCGTACTTTTGTTTCGTCGTATGCATTTTTTCCCCTTTTCAAGTGACAATTTTTACCAAGATACTGCACACACACACACGCACACACACACACACACGCACACACACACACACGCACACACACACACACCTAAGCATCACTGTACTCGTCTCCATCTTCCTCAGCTTCAGCTTCGTTAAATTTTTTTTACTTTTTAGACATCGTAATGCTGTTTGTCTACCTATTCCCGTTGTTTACTTGTTTGTTTGTTTACCAAACCACTGCACACACATTCCTAAGCATCAGTAGTACTCCCCTCCACATCTTAGATCGAAAAGGATAAAGGCTGCTGGCTCTTCTCTTTGGTAAGATAGTACCTAGGAAAGTGAATTTTTTTTTTTTTTAATTGTGTTTTTTAGACAACTTTTTGTGCTAATTTATTCATACTGTTTGCAGGTTCATTTAATTTATTCAGACAATTTTATGTATGATTAAATTCATTACATTCCAAATTTTTCTTCAGGCAAACTTACTACGTTCACTGAGCTTCTCTTAGTTAGAACAGTGCTTTGGCGAGCTAAAATTATGTTTTTTGGACCACTTTGTTGGTTAATTTATTCGTATTTTTTAATTTATCCATAAACTTTGAATGGAATTAATTCATTAACATTCCAAGTTCTTCTTCAGGCAAATTTACTACGTTCACTGAGCTCAATGGCACCGCAACGGATCACCAAACCTCCGGCTGAACGACCGCGTCTGTATTTCTTGGTATGCTGGTTGCATGCACTGGTGCAGGAACGGACACGGTACACTCCTCTTGGTTGGGCCAACTCCTACGAATTCTCGGATGCTGATCTACGTGTTGCTTGCGATACACTGGACGCAGCAGTTGATGCGGTTGCAATGGGACGTGCCAATGTGCCACCCGAAAAATTACCCTGGCATACCCTACGAAATCTACTATCGCAATGCATTTATGGTGGCAAAATCGATAATCAATTTGATCAGGTACCAAAATTTCCCGCACTTCAGCAAGAGTGTTAAATATGCTCCGCGAAGGCCCTGTTTGGTGGCCGCCACGTGTTCTCCGCATTACTTCTCACTACTACTGGCACGAAAGTCACTTTACGACCGTACTGCCTCTCTAGGTCAGCTACGAAGTTAACTCCCGGAG